TCCGTAGACACCTATTTGCCTTAATTGCATTGATCAACCCTACGCAACACTTCTTTCGATCACCGTAAACATGAATTGTTTCTCCTTCTGGAGTCTGAATCTTGATCATATTCTTATTACACACTATTTGCGCATGATTGTTGGATAGCCAATCCATCCCCAAGACTACGTCAAAACCTCCTAAACACATCGGCATAAGCCTAATGGGGAATTCCTTCCCATCTACAACAATTGTGCATTCATCGAATACTTCTTCTACCTTACGCTGACTACCGTCGGCTGTTTCTACAGTGTAGGTTTTGTCTAGCCTACGGGCACTGCTATTAAGATAGTGGCAGAAAGTGCTAGACGCAAAACTACCATTTGTACCCGAATCAAATAATACATGTGCATATACATTGTTGATAGGGAACATACCGGATACGACGTCGGGCGTTTCCTTGGCCTCATCCAAGGTCATGCTGTAAGCTCGGCCGCGTCCCTTAGGTAGCTCCTTCGTATTCTCCGGTCTCCTTCCAAATCTGTTATTTGCCGTCTTCTCGTGGGGTGTCACACTATTCCGACGTTTTGGGCAGTCAGGTCGTATATGTCCTGTAGCCCCACATTTATAACAAGTTTTTCCTTCTGGGCACTCTCGCGCGGTGTGCCCAGGCTTGTCACATTTGTAGCACGTCAGGCTCCCCGCTCTGCACTCTCCCCTATGTCTCTTGTTGCATTTGTTACATCGGGGAATAGTGAGTTCCTCGCTTCGTGTTTTTGCCGTGGTCGGAGTCCATTTCGGTTTCTTGTCGGGCCTGTTCGACCCTTCCCATTTTCTCTTTGCATCCCTTCTATCATAATTCTTCCTAACGTTGTTTTCTTCTGCTACCTTTGCCATCTCTACTGCTTGGACAAACGTGGTCGGCTTGGTCATGTCTACGTACCGTTTGATTTCTATTCTTAAGTCGTCCTTGAAACGACCTATCTTCCTCTCCTCAATAGCCACCTGGTAACTGGCGAATCTTGCTTTTTCAAGAAAATCATTAACATATTCTTGAACTGACAACGATCCTTGCTTTAATCTCAGAAATTCAGATTCTAGTTTGTTCACCTCCGTTTGCGAGCAGTACTTGTCCATCATCGTCTTTTTCATTTGCTCCAAAGTCATGGCAGTAATATCCTCATCACCTCTGATTGCACATTCAGACTCCCACCAATGTAACGCATAGTCCACAAAGGTTTGTAGCAGCATAAGTCACCTTTTGATCTTCCGCGCATCTACAAATTTTGAAGCAACTCTGCATCTTGGCTACCCAGTTCATCAGGCCAACTGGGCCCTCTATTCCTTTAAATTCCTTTGGCCCGGTGCCTTTGAATGTTTTAAAACTGCATCCCCTCTCCTTTGCAGTCAACTCAGTTCTCTCGATGAGCGACTCCACCTTCTCTTTATCAGACACTTCCACCCTTTCAGGGGCTTGAGTGTTCTCGTGTCGAACGCTTCATTCCTCTCCACCTTCATTATCCTTCAGTCTGTCACCCAACATTTCTTTAAGCATATTTGGCAATGTATCCCGGAGGACTTGTGCCATTTGTTCAGCCATCACTTCCTTTGTGAGAGAAATTTCTCCTCCTTGGACCCCTTGGCTCCTACCGATAGCCAAACTAGCTGGCGCGGATGGGGTCGTACCCGAACTAGCGGTTCGGACACTTCCGCGACCTCGACTTTGGGCTCGTGTCCGTCCCCGAACTGTCGGTTGGGCTACGCCATTGATACCTCCCCCATTGCGGGCGTTCCTTGTCGATCCACGAGAAACCATACTGACACAATAGAGTATTATTGTTTCAACAAGGTTCTAGTGTCGTCTTAACATATTACATTTATGTATATACATTATACGTATACATATACATATATATTAAAATCACTATATATATATCAGCGGAATACATGATAACGAATTCACGTCGCGATTGCACAATGCTCCAAAAGATATATATATATATATATATATATATGTATATATTTCGTTCTAATACAATCCTGGGGAGAGAGACATTACAAAATCCCATTTACTTACAAAAGATAGGATGCTTCAAAGTCCTAAACACAGGTGGAAGTTCCAAAAAATCTATCGACGCACTCGCTAGATGAAAACTATTTAGACACATACAAATAAATTCACCTACTCAAAGATTCTTCTCTCATCCCTGATCCCAAGTCTAAAACTGATCTGTAGGATAGTAAGGGAGATAAGGGTCCCTCAACCACTGCTCATAGGATGTGGATGGTATGGAGTGCCACAATACACTAACCCTTGGGCCACTTCTGATGTATCGAACCCAGTTGGAGAGATAGCCCTTTACTACGCTAGCATAGTCTATGGTCACTCTCTTATAGAAGCGAACCCTGTCCCTGATTCTGGTGCCTACGGGGCGAGCAGCAATTCTTCGTTCTTGCTCGAGTACAACCTTATCCGAAATCAGGGCATGACACTGGTCCGACAAATCTGCATTATCTTCAATTAGTTTGATTAGGGCTTCTCCTTCATCGACATGTGCCCGCTAAAGATTTCCCAGCCATTCATTTAGTCTAGTATTGTCACCTAAAGTTCGGGTCAACCTCTCCTTTAGTCTTGTGTTCTCGCCCTCCAGGGTCTCTATAGTCTCCATCATGTCCTCACGAGTCGGGGTGCGAGGCGTGTAGTCCACCGAAGTTTCGAGCGTGGTCCCTTGCCTGATGGGCTCGCGTGATGACACTTCACCAGTGTGGGCCGGACTATCGCTTCCGGACTGGGTACTGGGAACCCGTCCGGTGCTGGGGCGGTGACTGTCAATCGACCCTCCATTCGGTCCTAGCCCGTAAGGCGTCCTACGGGTTCTGTATCCGCGTCCGCGTCCGCGTCCGCGTCTGATAGCCCTGGTGTGAATGGTACGAACCATGTCTCCTAAAATCAAAAAGGAATACTAAGTCGAGTAGTGACGTAGGAGCAAACTTAATCGCATGCTAAGCAACGTCAATACAAAATGAACACGTGCTTCTAATAATCCTTTCAGTTTAAGCTTAGGCTAAGTAAATCTTAACCTATTTACCTTAAACTAAAGCTCTAACAATCTTCTCAGTTCAAGCTTAAGCTAAGCAAGTTTTTGCCTAATTACCTTAAACTAAGGCTCTGATACCAACTTGTAACACCCTCATTTTCATCAAGAGAGATGTCACGTAATCTGAAACATTTCCTTAATAAATACACCAAAGTAATGGCTAATTTAAACCATTTAAACTATTACAGCGGAAGTCTTTGAATCATCAAAATCTAACTTAAGTTCTAACYCACCTTCTMTTGGGGTTAAGTTACAAAAGATCTTTACAGCGCATCTTAGACAAAAGACTAAAATGAGATGATAATAAGCAACACTCTAAGCATGTCCTTTGCCTTTATCCGTCCTCGAACTACCTGGGCCTGAGATGCATACTATAGTTAGCATATAAAGCTCAGTGAGTTCATGGTTTTCGTGTATAAAAACATTGGACGTCATGCATTTCAACTTGTAAACCTTGTACCAAGTAGCATGCAATTTCTAAAAACATGCAACACTGAAAGAAATGAGATGTCATAAATTATCAGTCTGGAATGGGTCATTTAGTCACAAACACACCCTGGGTTGATACTTCATTCTCGATTGATCACCCATTTGTCCGGGTAGTGTTTTATACTGGTCGTCACTTATTAGTCACCAACAAGCCCTGTGTGTCACAATCTTAACTTATCACCCACTTGTCCGGGTAGTGTTTTATACTGGTCGTGACTTACTGGTCAAATGCCCACCCTTAAATCATCAAACTTTAGTATGGAAAAGCATGCTAGAGTTATTCGAATCGTGATTAAACACATAGCATGCAACAGATCATGAAACGTCATACATGTAAAACATATCATGTATGTAAACTGAAACATCATGCATTTGTACCATCATCATATAAATCGTATAATGCTTGAAAATAAATTTATACATAGGTATGCATCCCATTGTAAGTCTCATGAAGACTCACCTGATAACGTAGAGTGCTTAACTAACGGCGCTGACTGGTAACCTACAATTTATAATAGCGAATAGTACRTAAATGATTACTTTCTCCCCAATGGCTATCATAAAAGTCAACTTACGGTCAATTTTGTCAGCTAGGGTCAACCTTGGTCAACTATGCTTAGGAACGTTCTTCRTAACWACAAAATTAGACCAGAGCCTCTGTGGACGACCAGAGCCTCTCGTTGCCWTGACWGAGCCTYTGGACTCTTAAGTCCTTTGGGACCAGAGCCTCTGTGGTTGCATTGACAGAGCCCCTCTGCTTGTATCCCATACTTAGAAAATAATTCCACATCGAGGACCAGAGCCCCTCTGTGGTCTCTTTCAGAGCTTCTGGTCTCACGACCAGAGCCTCTAGTTGAACTATACTTAGAAAACAATTCACCACAGGCCAGAGCCCCTCTGGTCTCCATCTCTTCCAGAGCCTCTGGTCTCGCGACCAGAGCCTCTGGTTCTTAACTAGACAGAACATATTGGGCCTAAGACCAGAGCTTCTGCGACTTAACTAAAATCATTTCATTAAGGGCCAGAGCCCCTTTGGTCTCCATTTCTTCCAGAGCCTCTGGTTCCAAATCACATACATAAATTTAAGTGCCAAAGCTCCTCCGTTGCCTCATAACTTGATACAGAGCTCTGATGTCCTTTGTAACTTGGCACAGGGTTCCCACAACTTGAAACAAAGCTCATGCAGAGCCTTTGACTAGCATAATTGGACACAGAGCTCTCATGCAGAGCTTCTAGCATGATACAGAGCTCTCATGCAGAGCTTCTAACATGATACAGAGCTCTCATGCAGAGCTTCTAACATGATACAGAGCTCTCATGCAGAGCTTCTAAGATGATACAGAGCTCTCATGCAGAGCTTCTGTATACCATCTTCTAAGTGGTTTTTACAGTGATACAATATGTTTACCATTTGAAATCTAAAGCTTGAAATCGAACCTTAAAACACAAGGTTTGGACGCGAGCCTTCTAGGGTTCTATGCTGGACCGATGGCATAGCTAAACCTTGTATCAATATAAAATTTGGGTCGAGTAATTACCTCTAAACGACGGGAAGCACGGGGTTTCGTGCCTGGTCTGAACTCCGGTTCCTCCCTCTCTCAAGCTCGACGATTCCTTCTTCTTTAAAAAAAAGATAACTACTCTAGACCAGTACCCCTGATTTATACTCAAGCGGTTTGGCCTATTAGTTGACCAAATCGGCCAAATCCCAATTTTTAGGCTGCGAGACTGTCTTCTCCATAGCCTGCAACCATGCAGGTCGYAGTTTCCCTTTATGGGCCAAACACCGCCTGCCCTCTTCTGCCTCTCCCGATTGCCGACAGCAGGCTCCCCCTCTTGGTAGAGTCTTCAGCCGTTGGCCAATACTAAGGAAAGAATTTGACTTATCTTGAATTTCTAATATTTTATTTAACGAAAATATATATATATGTACCTACATATATCTATTAATAAGCAAAATAGAAATACAAAAAATATACATTATCTATTCCCCGAAATTTTGGGTTTTACAACTCTCCCCTCCTTCAAGAAATTCTGTCCTCGGAATTAACACTTGCTAAACAATTGAGGATACTTAGATTTCATTTCTTCTTCGGCCCCCACGTCATTTCTGCGCCTTTATGGAATTTCCACTTAACTAACACCAAGGGTATACTCTTGTTTCTTAGTCTTTTCATCTTCTTATCCAATACACCAATTGGTTCTTCCACATAGGCGAGTTTGTCATTAACCTCGATGTCTTCCAAATCCACAACAGTCGATTCGTCAGCTAAACATTTTCTCAAGTTTGACACATGAAAGGTGTTGTGAATACTACTTAATTCCTCTGGTAGTTTCAACYGGTAAGCAACTGCTCCTACTCTTGCAGTTATCTCAAATGGTCCGATATACCTTGGACTTAGCTTAACCTTCTTTCCAAACCTTACGACCCCTTTCCATGGTGATATTTTCAACAAAACCTTATCACCAACTTGAAATTCCAAAGGTCGACGTCTTCTATCCGCGTAGCTCTTTTGTCTATCTTGCGCAACCTTTAACCTCTCCTTGATCTGTACTATTTTATCCGATGTCTGTTGGACTAACTCGGGTCTAGCTAGTTGTCTTTCTCTGATATCTGCCCAACAAATTGGAGTCCTACACTTACGGCCATACAACGCTTCAAAT